ACAACTTTCCCTTGAAACTAAGTATTTCAGAGTATCAGAGCTTTTATGTTAGGATCTTGCTCATCATTTCTGTTCTTTGGGATTAGCAGCACTGCTAAGATCTACAGCACAAAAATCTTCCTCTCTGTTCTCATGACTAATGTCTTTGGTGATGTGCTAGTCATTAGTCACCTTAGTAAATGCAATCTCCTGCTCACTTGCCTGTCTGATTTTCAGCTCACAGCACAGTATATTTAAAATACATCTCTCTCATCCACAGGCCATTCTGTATTTATCTCCCTTTTGTGCTCTATCAATTACCTATTGCCTATTGCTTTTCCTTTCACTCTTATCAGTACACCTTTTTTATATCAGCTTTTCACAGATCTGACTCTTCGAGTAGTTTTGTTCTCATTTCTTGTCACGTCTGCACTACACGGCAGAATGCCTCCCCTTCTGCTTTCTTTCTGCCTTCTTCAAAGCAATCCTTACAAACAAGAGTATCTTTCAACCTCCCTCTATCTTCTTTCAAATCAACATGTAAGTATACGTCTTCCTTAAAGTTCACAGTCTTTCCCTTTGTTCATTATTTATGCACAGCTACATAGCAGTTAACAATGCCAAACTGTAGTCAACCAAATAACTGTACAGTGGTTTTGTTACATTACTTTAAGCAGAGGTTACTGTAGCATTTAATTTACTTATTATTTATTTAAAAAAAAAAAATTAAAACACCAGACCATTAAATTACCTTCACTTAAGAAAAGCAAGCTAAAATTCTATCTCCTCACAAAACATCTTTCTGGAAGAAGTGATGCTCACCAGCTGAAAAAACTAGATATTTCTGTCTTCCTGTAAATGTACACCTATATAGGATACAACATACATAGATACCTCCATTGCACCTTACAAGTAAGGAACACTACCATATCAACAAAAAACTGTCAGCCTACTGCTGCTATCGCCTTTAAACACCCATGAAATCTATTTGTAATCTAGTTTTGCACTATGTAATTTGCTTGAATTTGTTTCCAATGGATGTCCAGACAGCACTCATATAACAAAGCTGTGTCTGTATATTCTTAATCTAATCAGGCCTCAGTCTTAGTGGCAAAAAAGAAAATTACAGTACTAGAGCCACCTGAGAACACACCTCAACTCTTCAAGTGTCTGCTCTCCATTCCTTTGGGACAAAGCCAAATGAGTTAGCCTAGATTAAAATCTCTATAATAAAAATTAGTCAAAACCATAGAGTTTTGAGCTAAACTGATTGTCTCTGCAGTTGGAGCTGACAAACAAAGACCACTCATGATTTAATACAGTTTGACTATGCAGTGACCTAAAGGAGACATGTCCCAGTAGTAAGGAGCATTCTTAGTATTGAAAAGTGGTGTAAGAAGCTGTTGCCTGTCACTTCTCAATGTGTTTGTTGCTGTCTCAGCCCACCTTTTTCCCCGATCCTCTCATTCAATTTTCAGTGCACATGGGACCACAGGAAAGACAGTTCGTATGAATCCCAGGGTTTTAAGGCAAGAGCCAAAAAGTTTTTTCAAATGACATGAAGAAATGAGCATGAAGCTGAGCTTTGGCTTGAGTCAAATGACCAGAATTAAATTTCCATTATTCCTTGTGTTCCTCAGTTTCAAGGGCAGAAAAAAACAGAATAAACTGAACTTTTCCTGTTAAGATTAGAGGGAAATTGTTACAAAATCTACCTTCAAAAGCTCTGGTTGAATCAAGTCTTTTCTCTCAGCAATAAAGCACCAATTTTCCAACTGCATGATGTTGAACATATATGCCAAAAAGCCTGAGAAATTGATGATCTATTGTTTCTGTTATTATCCTCCATAGTCATTTTTTCAAACATTGAGGGAAGGCAGTGTGCACTGTGATTTAGTGATTTGAGTTTTTGAGTTTGTAGAACAGAAATCTGTATGACATTTACTGTGGAGGGAAAAGTCTTCCTGTAATAACACAATAATTTGAGGAATCTATTTGCAGCATTTTAATTACATCCTTTGAGTTCTTTATTAGTTCCTTGTTTTCCTACCACCTATTGGGTAACAGGAGAGCAATGGCATATGTGATACGCTGCAACCTTGTTATCATCCATGTGGGACAGGTTTGTCCCTGTCCCACAGACATTTCTGCTGTGGTTTAATCAGGATGCAGGCCTCCTGGGCTTGCCAGAAACAATACATTCCTCAATTTGATTGCCTGGAAACTGTGTTCTTCATTATCAGTACAGATCATCTTTTCAGCTCTCTTGCAGATGTTGCTTCCTCACCCATAAACATTTCCATTCAAACTTCATTGATACTAATTTTCTTGCTTTTGTCACAAGGCTCTAGAAGAGGCTAAGGAGATCCTTAGACATAAAGGGGAAGACTTGGGCAGAAAAGAGGAAGAAGCTGACAGGAGTTTCTTGCTGAGGTGACCTGGGTTAGCTAAGAAACCCACCAAAGTCAGACAAAGCAAGCTTTGCAGGAAAAATGCCATGGTTCAAAATAAGTTATAAGTTTTGTAAGGAGGACTCTGGACAAATTTAGGCCATTTTCTTAATGTGTTAAATGTTTAAATCATAACTGTCACACCTATTTCCAATATTGAAACGTTTTAAATTGCCATACACAAACTGCCTCTGCCCTAGAAAGAAAAGCTGTATAGTATAGGATGGTTTACAGGCTGAAAGAGTGACTGATATTCAGGGCAGGAGAGAAAAGAAAAGAAGCGGAAAAAAGAAAGAAAAAAAAGAGAAGAAGCTGTAGACGGGTAGCAAAGGAGAATGGCTGGGGGTTTAGTAGAACAGGAGACAGGGCCAATGGGCTAGATACAGGCTGGATGAATGGGATATCAGATAAGTGTTTTAGAGAAGCAAAGGTGTGTCAGGGCTGTTACGCCCTGAGCATGGAAGCATGAGCAGTTGCCGGAAGACCTGCAGAGCATAAATTGTAAGACGTTGTCTGGATGTAGTAAGGGAGGATTCTAGAAAGAACTGAGTGACAAGTTGCTTTTACTGTTCAGGCTTTACTACTCCCTTCAGGGCTTCTGCTAACACTTGTGCCAGACAGTCTCAAGAAGAAGGTTAGCATTATCATTTCAGATACGGGATTCCCTCCATGCTATTCATAAAATTCAAGATGAGTCTGGAGGAAGCATCCTCTGGTATACAAATTTCTTCTTTGTCCAGAGAAGGAAGACATCCCTCACTGACTCCAAAGTGCACAAATGACACAGCAGGCTGGCTTGGTATCTGAAGAAGACAATGGAAACAAGGTCTATACTGTCAGCTTTCAGATCTCACAATTAAGATGTACCATTTTGGGGAGGAAAACGATTTGAATACCAAGTGCCAACTGGATGGATGAGAAGTACATTCTTACAGATTTTGCAGTACCACTCTGGAGCACTAGTCAAGATAACATGAGTTACAGTGCATGAGGCAAACAATACAATGGGGTGTGGAACACGAGAAGAGGCTAGATTATTCTGGTGTGATGTTGGCAACAGGCAGACAGAGGAGTTCATATTGTAAACTACCAGTACTTACGGTCTTATGACTTCAGAAAATTCAGAATTATTCAAAAGCACATTCATATCCTGTAAAAAAATGCATTTACTACAGGCTACAGTTTTTAAATTGTAAGTACCTTCTGATTTTTTGTCATGATGCACTAGAGTCATGAATTCAAATTGTATGTGGCCAACACAAGGGCAGAAAATGCGTCACTCGTAAAATGACTTCAGCTTCTCACAGTCCACGTAACTCCAGACTCAGCTGCAATAAAACACATGAACACAACATTAATGCGACTCACCAAGGGCAAGAGCAGTGGATGTCTTTAGATGGCAAGGAGCCATCGGTGTGTTTAAATGCTTGAGTTGACAGACCTTAGCAGCAGCAGGATCAGCACTGTGCCCAGGTGTGACTGCTTCTTGCCAGTAGCGTCCCTTCAGCACAAAGAAGTCATTCGCATGGTACACTGACCCAGCCTTGGCCCAGCCCCCAGTTTCCGGGTGGACTGAACCGGTCCTGAAGGTATTTCCCCGACCTGGGATAGTTGCAACGCTGGTCTCCTCGATCTAAAACTGCTCCTGAGGCCCAGGTGGTGCGTAAGCGTGGGCAGAGAGCTGGCCTGGGCCCCTGTGGTGACAGGGCCTGGACACCAAGCCCTGCTCGACGCCCCAGCGCAGAGCCGAGCCCCAGGGACCAGCGGTGATAACCGACTTCCCGGGGCCGAACCGCTACAAGTAACGAGTGAAAGGCCCGGTGGGGGACACCTGTCCGCCCCGGCGCGTCCAACCGCCCTCCCAG